TTAGAGCTCAGTCCTACCGGCCGAACCAGATTTAAAATCAACTAAACATGAAGGGAATGAGATATGACCCAACCCAAATTATACCTGTAAAATGACCTTCGTATAGAGGCCTTTCAAAATTGGGCCCATGTAAAAGGTAGCAACGGTTAGATTGAGGAAAACCAGAGGAAAACCAGGCCGAGTCGAGGTACATAACTTAGGTATCTACGAAATAACTTGGACAAAAATGACGTGCCCGCAACATAAGGCCTAATTCATGCGCTCTTCTTCCAATAGAAATGCCTTGACTTTGTTGGTTACCCACTGACTTGCATGAAACCACATGCCTTCAAGGGGCTATCATTCTCACAGTCTTACTTAATATCCCCACAATATGGTATTTCTTTCATTTGTAAGTGAGATGCTTTAAATTCAATTCTTGTCAAAAACGAATTTGAACCACATTATTTTAGCTCATTGTGAGGCTTAACCCAATCTCCCACTTTGTTAGCATAGATAATATCATTTGTTCAAAAAACAAAAATCCCGACAACTAAAGATACTTATATTGACGAACGGTGAATTAAAATATCACAATTTAGATAAACTTAAAATTTGACTACATAAATATTGTTGTTTAACAAACATATATTTGATAAGAGAATATTTATGTCTGAATAAATACCTCACACAAACCATGTTCAAACGCGGATTCAAAATCAAATGGGAAGAGAAGGGAAGTGTGGGTTCCGTTGAGACAAAGACAAAGGACCCTTTATCACATTCAAATTAGGAGTCCAAGTCCAACCGTTACTATTTCTTAAAAACGCATTTCTTGCCTTTTGCTTTCAAAGATTTCCAAATCCATGAACCTTCTCTGAATCAGTCGACCACGCCAAAACCGAACGACTGCATCAAACAACAATTTAAATATTTATTAAAAAAAAAAAGAACACTTCTTCATAATATAATATACAGCTTTCTACTAAGCTGTATTTACATTACATAATTGATTATCCAACTCTCTCTCTCTCTCTCTCTCTCTCTCTCTCTCTCTCTCTCTCTCTACGCGTTTGAAAAAAGCACACGCAGAAACTCACATATATAAACACTCTCTCTCTCTTCCTCCAAATTCAAAAACCCAAACTTTCAAGTCCCCCAAAAGAACCCAGAAGCCATGGACTCGAGCTCCAGGAACTGGCCTCCGATCTTGGCCCTCAATCTTCTGCTTATTTTCATGATCCTCCCCTTCTCACTCGCCCAATCCACCGCCCAAGCTCCGCCGCCGGCCTCCGACTCCTGCAACGGCGTCTTCCTGTCGTACGCCTACACCACCGGAGCCCAGCTCCCGCCCGAGGTCAAAGACCCGTCCCAGCAGCCCTACCGGTTCGAGTCGGTGCTCACGGTGCTCAACAACGGGCTCGACGATCTCAAGTCGTGGAGGGTGTTTGTGGGGTTTACTAACAATGAGTACTTGGTCTCTGCCTCCAATGCCGTTTTGGCCGACGGGAGTAGCATTCCTGGGAGTGTGGGAAACGGCACCGTTTTTGCTGGGTATCCGATGACCGATCTGAAAACGGCGGTTAAGACGGCGGGGGACTTGACCCAGATGCAGGTCCAGGTCAAATTGATCGGGACCCAGTTCGGTGTGGCCCCACCCAAAGTTCCCATGCCTTCCAATCTTACTTTGGCCAATGATGGATTCGTCTGCCCAGCGGCTGCAATGCAAGGTGAGCTCTTAAACTTCATTTGGGTAATTTGGATTTGTTTTCTTTTGGTACATTTTTTGGATGTTGCTATTTGATGGTATTTGATTTGGAGTAAGCAGATCTAATTTAGCTGTTGTGAATTGAATACTTTTCATAGCTTCAGATCTAATTTAGCTGTTGTGAATTGAATTTTTTTTTTTTTTTGAGAAACGTGAATTGAATCCTTTTGATGGCTTATATATATGAAGGTTTCAATCATTTGTTTTGAATGTTTATTGTATAACGGTATAGAATTAGTTGAATTTGATGAGAGAATGCTTGTTATTTGGATTGTGCTTAGTGGTTTATCGAACAATTTAATTCAGTATGAGTTGGACCGTATGAGTCTCATTAGGATATGCATCTGTATGCAAACTGCCTCAAAGCTGTTGACTTGCCTTCAGTCACTAGGAAATTTGTTAGTCTTGGGGTTGTCGTAGTTACAACAGAGAACAAGATGTCTTCCCTGTTAGTTTTTTTGTTTTTGGAAGACAATGGTAGTGGATATATGCATCGAAAAGATATACAGAGAAAAGAATGCTATAACATTAGGGTTTATCTTTCATTTTTCTTTTGGTTGTACTGAGATCATTGGTTTCCATGTTTCCTTCATATTATTAGACAGTCAGTTTAAGGATATTCTTTTCTGTCGACTAACTTGTTTATAATAACCAGATTTTACCACAGTAACATACATTTTAGTTTTTACAGTAAGTTGGGTTTTCATTTTCGACTTTTATTGCCCATGTTAATCAGCACACTCTTACACTGCTCTGGTAATGTTCATCACAGGGACCCATGAAATGCAAGTCTGTTGCACCGTAGACACAAAATTTAAAACAAACATCACTGTGGATGAAGAGTTCCTCCCCCGTCAAAAAGGAGATCTTACAATTATGTATGATGTGATCAGTACTCAGGAGTCAAAATACACGGCGCAAGTTACAATCGCCAACCATAACTCCCTTGGTCGTCTTGATAATTGGAAATTGAGCTGGGACTGGATGGAAGATGAGTTCATATTTTCAATGAAGGGGGCTTATCCATCTGTTGTTGATTCTTCTGACTGTATATTTGGTAAACAAGGTACATTCTATGAGGGTCTAGACTTCTCAACTGTGTTGAACTGTGAAAGACGGCCAACCATTATTGACCTGCCTCCAACAAAAGCCAATGACACACTTCTTGGTCTGGTCCCTTATTGTTGCCGAAATGGTACTATCTTGCCGCCAACAATGGATGCAAGCAAGTCAGTTTCATCATTCCAGATTCAAGTTTTTAAAATGCCTCCAAATCTCAACCGGTCCCAGCTCTCACCGCCACAAAACTGGGGAATCAACGGCACGCTCAACCCTGATTATAAATGTGGCCCTCCTGTCCAGGTGAGTCCTAGCCAGTTCCCTGACCGATCTGGCTTGCCAGTGAATTCAACTGCAGTAGCCAGCTGGCAGGTTGTGTGCAATATTACCCAACCCAAGGGAGCAAGCCCTAGATGCTGTGTTTCGTTTTCTGCTTTCTACAATGAGTCTGTCATCCCATGCAACACTTGCGCTTGTGGCTGCCCTAGTAATATAGCTCGAACTTGTAGCACAACCGCACCAGCTATGCTTCTCCCACCAGAATCACTTCTTGTTCCCTTTGACAACCGAACTGTCAAGGCAAAAGCTTGGGCTGAGCTTAAACATCTACCAGACCCAAACCCGACACCGTGTGGTGATAACTGTGGGGTCAGCATTAACTGGCATTTATATACAGACTACTCTCGTGGATGGAGTGCAAGGGTCACAGTCTTCAATTGGGATGAAACTGCTTTTGTTGATTGGTTTGCTGCAGTACAACTGGATAAAGCAGGCCCTGGTTTTGAAAAGGCGTACTCTTTCAACGCAAGTCACTTGGAATTGAATGGTGTCAATAATACCGTATTCATGCAAGGTCTCGAAGGATTGAACTATCTTGTGGCGGAAACAGATGGAGCCAACCCACAGAAGGATCCTAGGGTGCCCGGGAAACAGCAATCAGTGATCTCATTTACAAAGAAGACTACTCCTGGAATCAATTTGGTTGGTGGAGATGGGTTTCCGACGAAAGTATACTTTAACGGGGAGGAGTGCTCACTTCCTACAATATATCCTAGCAGTGCTTACAGAAAAAGCACATCTATAATTTTCTCACTTCTCGTAATGGTTGTAGCGTTCGTGGTGCTGCAGCAATAGTTGAGGGATGAGGCAATGCTAGACCTTGTAGCTACTGCTGATTTTTTTTTTGTTCTCTCAGTAGTTTGATATGTGCTCAACAGGGAGGTTTTGTGAAATCCCAACTACCAGAAGACGTGCATGCCATTGCCGGTACTTGCGAGGGTTTAAGGCGGATTTTGATTGTGACTGGTATTCTTTTGCTTTTAATCTGCAAATGCTGAAGGGAGGATCGTCGACACGCTGCAAGTAACAGCAAACTATGTAAAGCAAATGTACTCGTATTTTGTATAAACAATATTGAACTAGATGCTTGTTCTTGATTCTTTTTTTGTTATTTGTATACACTTTGTTGGTTGTGGAAACGATAATACAGCGTCCTAGAAAGAACTCAGCATTTCCCCTCCATTTTCGTTTTAAACTCGTCATATTTAGACCTCCGATCGAGTAAAATGATGAGAATGACCTTAAAAAAGCGTACTTATTATTGTCACGCGCCATTATTAGACAGGAAGTTGAGTGCTAAGTTGTAATACCATGTGAAGTTGAGTTGGTTAATTGCACAAAACTGGAGAAGTTCAATTCGCTAGTTGTGCAGAAAAACAAGTCTTAGCAGTGTGGGATTACAAATTGTTTAAGTTAATCCTTGTTTTTAAACTTGTTTAATTGAATACCTAATCACCTTTGGCGACTTGTTAACTGAAATTATTCTATTTCAATCTGCAGGCTCTTCCTTTTTTTGTTTTTCTTTTTTTTTTGTTGTGTTTCTTTTTGTGACAGTTGGACCACATCTGATCTTATCCGACCACTTTCAGGTTGCTTCTTGCATTATTCCCATTTGCCAATTACTCTCCCTCCAGCCGCACCCATATCTTATGGCATTGGTGCCTTAAATTAGTGAAACATCACCACTAGGTTTACTTGATTTGCATAAAACTTAGGTAGGGGCGTCGGAGCCTGTTATTAACTTGGAGTCGGAGCTTGCACTAGTTAGGCAGACCTGCTGAAGTTTCTCTCCAAGCTTCAAACTCATAAACTTGATAAGTGGATTTTATTTTTGGTCGAGTAAAAGTTAAAAACAGGTAGTGAAACTGAAAGATTATTAAGAACAGAGGACATGTTACATATAAGAAGTGGTTAACACCAAAGCTAAAAAGCAAGAAGGAGAATTCCTAGAAATTCAAGTACAAGAAATGCAACCAAGAAAGAATACCCCCGACTTATGTCTTGAGTAACCAAATGGAACATATGTACATCAAAGTCGATTCCTTGAACAAGAACGAAAATGGAGCCAAGGACGGGGAAAAAGAAATTCATTAACGGCAAACTTCATGCGTTATTGAGAGTTAGAAGAAGTATCAAAACCTACCTAGAATACTCAAGAGGAGCCTAAAACCGAGGACAAGTTTCACCGGCACCCCTGGAATCGTTGCTTCTTTCTAGTCACTCAAACATTTGCATGTATGCCTTTGCGCACCATGCAGCAGTGTTGTGCATAACCAATATCTTTAGCACATTTGATCTGCCTCAATGATCCATCATCCTGATCTTTTATCTCCTAAAAACAGCAGAACATGTTATTCACAACGAAAGATATGATTTGTGAAATCACGCACTCCGGTTTTCTTTGAAGTAGAAACAAACTTGAATATCCACCATCTGATTGCAGAAGAAATGACTTCTATTGCAGCAATTATATACACCAGAATTGCAATCATACAAATTATGTAGGAAGCGCATTCTACACAGGAATATTATCCAAGGAATACCCATCAAAGTCAAACTCATTTTCGGCAGGTCCAAGTCCATCCTGCTGTTGAAAAACAAAAGAAATTTCATGAGTAAATAACCACCTTGATATCTCGAAACATGCAACTAAAAATTCAAATACAGTAACATCTCAAAGCAAAAAATGGACCTGTTTGAGAAGTGCACTCATTAGATCATCCTGACCATATTGTTCATGAAAGAAGCTATTGAGAAGTTGCATCGGGGACTGTTTCAGCCTTAATCCTAACTGTATTGTCAACAATACGACCGTTAAGGTGGTGACCAGTATTTTGCATATTCCCAAAATGACTGCCTTCCCCCACTGAGAACATAGTTTTTCCAACAATAGATGGATTCCTGCTTTGTCCACCCCTTTGACTAGAAGAAAATCCTTGATGAACTAAAACCGAGGGATCAAGGCTACCGTGTATGGAGTGTGTATGTTGTGACACATCGAAAGTCAAGCCCACATTCTGCAAGTCCCACTCATTTGACTTGGGCTGCTGTAACTCGTTAAACATATCATAACTTGGCATAAATCCAGAAGATCTTTTTATGTCAGAAGTCACGTCTTCAGGAAATGCTCCTTTAGACGCAAGGCTGGACATTACCGGTGTACTTCCAAGGGTAAAATTGTTGCCTGGTAGTTGTGAACTGTTGTTTAGGGGATAATTCAACATTGAGGAGTTTTGATGCACTGGATTATATCCTACGCCTCTGCCGCTATCAACAATACCATTTCTTCCCAAAACTCCATTACCCATACCATTAGATATGATGGGCTGCCCCACTGATGATGAATGCCGTGGAACATGATTTCCAGAAGATTCATTCAAGATCTGCCCCCTTGGCTGCAATTGAGGTAGCGGCATAAGTAGAGAACTGTTCTGAACTCCATGAGCATTGACTTGCATATTGGCAGCTCCAAGGGTTTGTGCAGACTGGTGCAAGTTGGCAAGCTGTTTTGCCTCCATAGTTGTTGGAATTCCATTAAGTAAGTTCATCGGTTTGCTACTGCTCATATGTTGTTGCTTTGGATTTTCAAAGCTGAATAAGTTCCTTTGATCAACAAGGGGCATAGGTATGCCAGATTTTCCTGTTGACCTCCCAAGTCCGGCTGCTTGGAGTGTGGCAAGGCTTTGAGCAGGGAGTTGACCTGTGACAGCTAGCGTCTGAAGATCGAGCCCATTGAGTGATGACATTGCTCCAAAAGACGCTTCTTGAGGACTCATGAAAGGGTTGCTCAAATTATTCTGGTGCTGAGACACCCCACTCAACCTTCTAAGGTACAGCCTGTATTTCTGTTTCATAAATTTACACGCGAGTTATTCTCAAACAGAAAATATATTTTAACCATGTCACATAATAACAAAGGAGTTTTCTCGAATTCATATCTTAAGAGAATTCCTCCTCATATGTTTTTATATTATGCATGATTATCATACCTGAAGATGGCTAGCAACATTTTCTCTAGTAAGCCCAGGAACATTCATCAACTCCAGAATTTTCTTAGGCACGGCCTCTGGATCAAATAAGTAAGTTCGAATGTTATACAGAATAATTTGAACTAGGAAATGCGACAGATGTTAACTAATCATACATACATAAATCCATGGTTTAACTTTATCTAAAAGCAAAGGAAAGTAAAGTACTTCGTTCTACACGTTGTGATAAAACGAGTCTTAATTATGAGTCATGCATGCCCATTTCCAGTGCAAAGAGTGTGTACATAAATTCAAACTGACTCAGCTCCTTGTTAAAGAAACAGGTGCAAAACTCAAAGGATCAGTGCACTTTTTTACTCCCAGTGTTCATACATACTAGACTACAGTCAATCAGGAAATATAAAATTGAAAAGTATAGAGAAGAAGACATACTGTCAATGCCTAGTTGATTAACAGCGCCCACAAATTGTTGATGGAGTTCGACTGACCAAACAACCCGCGGCTTCTTTAATGTGGATGAATCATCCCTCTCATCCGTCTCTTCTTCCTCATCCTTCCTCCTCTTTGAGTTCTTCCAAGACCCTTCATTTGCCGAGGACGAGTAATCTGCATCTTCGGATGGTTTTTGCTGCCGATCCCCTTCTTCCACACTTCCGGATTGCTCCGCATCCTTCCGCTCATTCTTTTTCTTCCGAACCACATGCTGCCATATGTTCTTCAGCGCCTCAATGCGAACTGGTTTGATCAGATAATCACAAGCACCATGAGTCACACCCTTCATGACAACACTTTTTCCATCATCAGCGGACATCACTGTGGAATCACACGTATCACATATCAGCGCCAGATTAACACATATGATTCAGGTTAACAGCAGTTAAATCCATACAAAATTACTAAAACGAGGTACTCACTGATAACAGGCAGGTCCATCTCCAGTCCAACCTGCTCTAGGAGTTTGAATCCATCCATGTCTGGCATGTGCACATCACTGATAACAACATCGTATCCGTTCTTGTTCTCTCGAAGCAGCGAAAGCGCGCTCTCCGCTCGATTACATTTTGTCACTAAAGATCCCAAACCAACCAACTCAATCAATCCACAAATTTAGTACAGAAACAAATTATAGAACAATATCAATAAAACAGGGATATGAATCTACAAAGACAAATTAATTCTCAAATCTATTTTCTGGAACAATACCATTAAAACTTTTAAAAACAAAAAAAATAACATTGTACAATTACAAACCATGATTAACAAGTTACAAAATTTAACACAACCCATGATTCAAATCTAAAAAGAATCACAACTGAAACAGTAAAAGATATCAAATTATATCCAAATCTGAACTTGTACAACAGGCTCCAAATCCTAACTTCTACCACAGGCTCCAAATCCCTTAAACAATAGCATGAAAAAACATAAGTAATTACAACCCAAGTGGTAAAAACTTGTAGTAAATCACCCACAGGAAAAATAAATCCATGATGTGAGACAAGTACTTGAAATCTCCAGAAGGATTGAAGAAAACCCATGAAGCAAAAATCTCTAGAGAGAGAGAGAAGAAGAGAGTACCTTCATAGAGGCAAGTTCTGAGCATCCTCTCCAAGATCATAAGGCAAGTAGGATCATCGTCGACCACCAGGACTCTTAGTCCCGCGGGAAACTGGTCAGAGACCACATCCCCCGATTTCCAAGTTCCACTCGAACTAGCCGTTGACATCAATCCCATGCCGTTGCTCAGATGCATAGCTTCAAAACACCTAAATCTCGGAAGCCGAATAAACAGCAAGAAGTGTATATATCTAAAAATCCCCCAACCAGATAACCCGAATTACAAGCTGAAGTTCCGGTTTTGATTCATACCCAATTCAAATTTCAAAGAATCCAGTTGAGCAAAAGCAACAGAATTGAAAAAGATTATTGATTTTCTGCTCATAAATTTTTTATTTTATATATACATATGTGTGTGTATATATATATTCTTCAGATTGAAGTTGAAAGAGTTGGACTTGTCTCTCTCGGCTTCCAAGCTCAAATTGTCTGTGTCTTATGGGTTTTATTTAAGATTTTAATTATTTATTTGCTAACTTATTTTAATAATTGAATATTTTATTCAGATGTGGGTCACTCCTGAAGGGAAGAGTGGATCCAGCTCATATACAAATATAAATAAATAATTAATTAATTAACTTGATTAACTGACAAGATCCTTCCTTAATTCACTCACAAATAATGCTTGGTCTGGTTTTTTACCCTTTTACTACTTACCATTTGTGTTAATCTTTTCCTTTTTATTTCTGGTATTTACCTTCCCATTTTTTCTGTTTGCTGTTTTTACTGCAACAGAAATTGAGTGGTTAAGGTTTGACCTTTCCAATTATCAAATGGTTGGACCAAAGTCAAATCATTTAATCTTAATATTTAAATTTAAACATGATTACAGAAAATAAATTGTATTTGAATTTACTAATTTGCTTATGCAGCCCATGTGTTAAAGAAAAATAATAAAGCCCTCCAAATTTTGATTTACCTTAATGTTTTGGATTAAAACAATTTTATTTTTGCATTGTTAATTTTCTTTTTATAGCCAACTGCATAATATACGTTGGGATTTTATTTTGTGTCTGAATTTTGGGTCGCTGGCGCTCTATCATTAGAAAAGGTAAAAATACAAACAATTTTCTTTTAAAGAAAATACTTACGACATGAGGAAGTTTTATTGACTCAAAAAAATAACTACAACGTCTTGAATGTAAAGCATAATTCTGACCAAATAAATTCTCAAAACAAGGAGTCGTACATAAACATAGGGACACTTAAGACAGCCTTAAGTGCATATATAAGTACAAAAACGAAAAAAAAAAAAAAAAAACTGTTATCATGGAGGTGGTATTTGGATGGATTGATGTTTTACACCAACATGATATTCGTTTGTTCAAAACTTGGAAACCATGTTGCCAAAGTAAACAACCACTTCCATGTATTGTGGGCGTGGTTTTGGTTTTCCACTTTCAAAGTCATCAATAGATTAGTTGTCATACAAACAACTTCTAAATTCAGAGTCAAATTTCGGTAGATTACCTGATTAGGTTAGTTCTTATATTAATTAGAACTAGGGTGAATACCGAATTAAGGACTAGGCTAAAATAATAATAATAATAAATTTTGTTAAATAATACTTAAATAAATAAAATAACATGCTCGCACAATCCTATTGAGAAAATCTTCAAATTTAAGGGAAAAAAAGGAAATGTCATTTAGGACTAAGGTCTAGTATATTCATCTTTCTTTGTAAGTGAGATGTCTTAGGTTCGATTATTGCCAAAGGCGAATTTGAACCACATTATTGCTAACACATTGTCAAGCTAAGCCTACTCTCTCATTTTAGTATAGATAATATCGCTCGTTAAAAGAAAGGACAAAAGGAAAGACCACTTAGTATTACAGTCTACTAGTATTTTTCTTTACTTGTAAATAAGAGGTTTTAGATTCGATTCTCGCCAAAGGTAAATTTGAACCACATTATTGTTAATCTATTGGAAGGCTAAGCATGTCCCTCCCTTCTTTTAGGGATGTGATATCCACACACCCCTTTTTACTTCTCTCACACCCTTTTAATTTTCGGCCGTCGGATCAGATGAATTGAAGAATATCAAAGAACATAAATTAATAAGGGGTGTTAGAGAAGTAAAAAGAGGTGTGTGGATAGCACACCCCCTTCTTTTAATGTAGATAAAAGATGGACAAAAGGAAAGAGAAAAAAAGGCAAATAATATTATGGTCCAAATCTATGAATCCAAATCATCGTCGGATCCTCTTTGTGAGGATTATAGGAATCTGTGAATCGTGTCCGTTTATCGTATATCGTTGGGTCAGAAATCATTTTAAATATTTTTATTTAAAATTAAATATAAACAGTATTTGATAAAAACTAACAGCATAATATATGATAAATAAACACGATTCGTAGATTATTCCCAAAAGGATCCGGAGCAAATCTATTCCCCGTAACGTAGTACAGAACGGAACAGAAAAAGTATTGTGGAACCCCGTTGAATGACTGTTGTTGCTTTTCTCAAAAAGCTGCTCCGTTGAGCTGAGTTTTTTTTTAGTTTTTACTTCACTTTTATACCTCCGTTGAGTTAACCGGTGCAATTCTCTGCTGCGCTGTGCTGTTGCTGTTGCTGTCGATGTCCAGCTTTTACTTTCCAACAGTTACCACATTCTCAACTCATTTCCCCGTGTCGACAAGTGTCATTGGGTGCCATTTATTAGGATAAGGCATCCTTGGCCTATGTTGTTTGCTCTCTCATTTCCTAGTCACCACTCATCCTTCCCCCCCTGCACTCGCAGACTTGCAGTTGCAGATGCAATGCTTTTGAGTTTTGGTGGTGTGGTGTGTTGTGTTTGCGTGTTTTCTTTTAAAACCTAATTACTTTATTTGTTCTGATATCTTATTTAATTTGAATATGGTAATGTTTGTAGCAACCGTATTAGTATATAATGTTAAAATGTGTGATCATCAATCAAAAACATTAGTTGACAAGGTAGTGCGGTACTAGGATGTGTGTGTAATACGTGTTGTTAGACTGATGTGTTGATTTTATTACATGCCAGATATCTAATAAGACAAACATTATTGACTACTCGCTTCTTAACAAACAATCATTCTTATTATTACAACAAGGAGCCTCGCAAGGTATTTCCTCGTTGGAGTACAAGACTTTAAGGTAGATCTCGAATATATGCAATCATTTGTATATCAATCATATTTGGCCCATGTGTAAAAGTCTAACGACCGTACATGCTCATTTGATATGTGTTTGCTACGTGTTTCACTTGGGTATCTTTACACGTGAGGATGGTTGAGCGATGTCTTACATCGGAAAGTTAAGTGAGATTTGCATGTCCTTATAACCTTATACCGCATTTATTTTGAGGTGGAACATTCATTTCCTTCAACCATACGTCCTCATTAACATTATCTCAAATAGTGGCATTTTTTTATTCTTGTATAAGTGATACCGGAGGAAAAATTGAATCTATGACGTCCTATAAAGACTTGGAGCTTCATCGTTGGATTAAATCGAACGGAAGTAATCACAATTACCTTAGACCATAGAATCAGTAAACTAAACCAATATATATTATTCCCTTAGACTATAAACTATAAAATAAGAAATAGGATTGCTTTCCCACTCCTCGAGCAAGAAAAGCTGTAACAGCCATGCTAAAGCAACCAAGCATATCCTGAAATCGTATATTCCCTGTAAGTCTCTAGTAACTAGCCTTTTCTTTTTTACGATGAACAAATGCTAACCCGTCACAGAAAAAAACCGTGTAAATTTGTGACCTAAACACCCACTCTTCCTCCTCCGGCCCCAAGATAAACCAGCAAATTAAACCTCTGCGTCTGCGAATGTGGTTGCTTTTTATGCTTTAAGCTCTGGCTTTTCTGGGCTTTCCCACATAGATTTAAATCTATAAAGTTGATGATTTTATAATTATTATTTATTGTTTCTTGTTCTAGCTTTTCATGGGTTTAGTAATTTAGGGTTGCTTTTAACGCAAAAAAATGGAATAATATTTGTGTGTAAACCCGAGCTTGATTTCACGCGCGCCCATTAAACTATATGGAAATGCAAATGCAAATGCACTGCAGTGGTGCGGTGGTCGTGGTGGCTCCCTTGGGCCTTGGGTAGGTTTCAGGTGATTGGAGCTGCTACTGTTGCATTTCCATGTGGCACATCGTGGAAGTTGGAGAAAAGGTCCAAAGCCACGTTTGCTAACTTTCCCCCATCTCCTTCAGCAATTGCCACTTAAATCATGTGTGTCATCTCCCCAAGTCCCAAGCAGGCAATGCAAACACCCTCTCAAAACTCACTTTTCAGACCAACACTACAACATGAATGATAGTAGTCTCAGTTTTGATCTGCATGCGCCTTGTGAATATATGTACTTGTGATCTTGACAGAGTTTTCACCTTCATTGGTTTTTACTTTTGGATGTGAAAACCAAAAATGAAAGAAACAATTCAATTTTTATTTGAATTGTATGTCAGTGTCAGTCGTTCATGTTTGCAAGTGAGTCCTACAATATATGACAAGCTCACGGTCACTTGCGTCCATAGAATTGTAGCATTCTCTTGTTTTTTGTTTTTCAGAGTACTTCCTTTTATATGTTTTGGGTGAAACACTTCATTCTAGTAGTCGTTGACACATGCATATGATTTTAAGAGATTGATGTGTATGAGTTTTATTGAAAAATAAAAGTTTTAAGGTAAATTCAAAATTCCATACGCTCAAATGTATTTTTCCCTCGTAATGAGGCATTATAGAAAGAAAAATGATAAACACCTCTTTCAGCCTCTTAGACATCATGTTTAATCTTGTTTGTTGTTTTTTTATTCAATTCGATGACTATAATAATTAGGAGTGTAAAGCTAAAAGGGGTGTATGACAATCACCACTCTTATAAGAAAGCATTATACAAGGGTAACTCAAAACACGAAATAATTAAATTAATTGAATAAACAAACCCAAATCTATGATAACGACTTATAGAATAAGTTCACTGCAACAATAGTGTGATGTTCTATGTAAGTTGCTCTTTGAACCCACAAGAAAACTTAACTCTTATTTCCTCATATAGACTAATTTAGAAAATAACTTACCAAATAGCACAAAAATCCTAATTTACTCAATCTCGTAAACTATTTTTTTTTTTTTTGAGAGATTTTCTATTTTATTATTCTCAAATAGCTTTCCTAATCTGTAGATGACGCTTTATAGCAGTGGCGTAAAACAATAATATAACTTTCATAATACATCAATAGCTCACAGTCGCATGTGCGTGCAAGGGATTGTTGGTAACATTTCTCGTTTTGGATCCTTCACCCTACTTCCTTTTGCATGTTTTTGGTGCCATTGTTTTATATTCCATGGGTTGTTAACAATCATTGTCAAATTTTTGTTTCCCCTTGACAAAGAGGCTTGCACCTCACTTGCCCATTATCTCACATGTTCTCTTGTTGCTACATT